ACCTCGATAACATTGGTAGTGTTATGAACAACGAAATCGACGTATTTCTCTTTTGAATTGGATTGGAAAATTGAAGAATATGTAGTGAATGGATATTGATAGTTATTGACTCCAATATGAAACAGATAAACAGCTCTTGAGATTACTCTCTTCCCCTCTGTATCTCCTAACTTAGACCTCAGCATTTTCTCAACCTTCTTGAAGTTGTTTAATTGTGTTCTCAAATCTATCACCTTGAATTGTGAAAAAAGGTTAAAACAAGAAGCCAAACAATTACCATCAATTCAGCAGATAAAATTATACAAATTTAAGATATATAACTGATGAATACCATTCCGGGAAAGGTTCCGACCAAAGCTCCAGCACCGGCAGAAGCAAAATTAACTCCGAAGGTTAATTGATTGTTACCGTTACTTGGTGTTAGAAATGGCGGGATCAACGGTAATCATTCGAATTCCGCTTCCAAGTCAACAATCAGTTAAAATTTTCCCGGGAAAGTAAAACTAACGAAACAAAGTAATTTTGTTACCAATGAAATCGGGAATTGAACGTCCATCGGAGACTCTACCGGTAGGGAATTTGAACATGGTTTGGCCTTACGGATAATAATTAGTAAATCTCGATCACTTTGTTTTATATGTTAATTGATTTCACCTTTAATTATATGCTACGAAATTCTATGAAGGCGAGAGAAAGTTATCGGCCTACAATCATGTTGAGATTAACATATTGCTTATTGCTTCAAATAGCTGTCAGAGTATTGTTTATTCTTATAGTTTTCTTCAGCAAGAGATTAACATATTGCTCGCGAGAAAGAGAGTGAAACATAAATACTTAGGTTTTTTTGAACCGTTTTAGGTTTTATGTGTTACCATGTGTCATAAGTTATCAAGAACGACTTACGTTTGACATATAAAAAGAGAGATTTTCTCCAAGATGGATGCATCAAGAATCAGCAAGCTTAGAAAGTTTAAGGAACATTTTTTAAATTTTAAGATAGCTATCATCTTAGTCATGAAAAAATCATCTATTGCATACCACTTGCCAAAATTTTGTGTTTTTTTTGGGTTTTAAGAACGTCAAATCTGGTGGTATGTGAAAATACTTTTAGTTATTTATAAAAGCATTTGCTTACGAAACATTATGACTTGAAGGTCGTGTGAAAGTAAAATTCATATATTATTGATTTGGATTAAAACTCCACAAATCTAAAATTTGGTATAGTATAGATTATTAGGTCGAATGAGTAAAAATGTTTGCAGTGTTTCTTAAATAACATTTTAAGAACTACAAAATTAGTTAAATATGAAAAATTGTAAATTCTAACAAGAATTCATAACCGTTTTTGAATTACAAAACTAATTATTATGAAATGTATAAATTATTGTTCAACTATTTATTATGAAATAAGCTCCTGCATATCTATTTATCTATACGAAAATAAATAGCCAATCGTTTTATAAAATCATATTTTTCTTTTTTTCAACAATCACCATATATTAAATCAAATGGTTCTTATTCATATAAAACCATATGAATGGTCAATTGTCTTATCAATAATAGGGATCTAAAACAGGTGTTAACATATGATGTGAACATACAGGTGTTRAAAAATTATGATGGAGCGATGGAGTTATTTATCATTTGATGGAGTTTCATAACATGATGTCAGGGAAATAAGTTCAGCTTAGAAAAGGTAGAAACCGCCAACCTTATATTCCAACAACAAGAAATTGAGATATGTGTTAAGCGTTTTGGTCTTTTTGTTAGCAAATGGTATGTTTGTTTTAAATTTATCTTTGTTCATTTAATATAATTAGTTTTAGGTCCTAAGACGTTTGTAGTACGTAATATTTCATTGCTAATTTTATGAAAGTAATATACATCGTGTCATACGTGCATTCATATTAAACTATAAACTAAAAAAGTCAATTCACTCTATAAAATATTTTATTTTCTACGATTGCTTCACTTTCTTATCATTATATTTTTACATTCGTATATATCGACGTCTAACTAAATAAAAAATAAAAATCCAATTATATATTAAACTCATCGATAAAACAAATTCACACGTAGCATAGTTATAAAACTTTGTATAAGGGTCTACAAAAAAAATTTAAGCACTGGGCCCATTTTGACTTTGGGCCGAGCCTGGGTTTAAGACACATGTATATATAATATGAAAATATATACATCGTTCGTGTCCTCTAAATCAAGGAACATATTTCCAAAATATCCTAGTGAAGGAAACCCTA